AAAAAAAAACTTGGTTTCTTTATTTACAACTTGTGCAAAAACATTTAAAGGTTTCACGGACTTTACATTGTAAGTTCATTTCAAGGCACATACATGGGACAACAACAACAGTTTAATAGTGGAAACAAACGAAAGAAATTAAATGTACATAGCAATCAAAAATTACTTTGGTTCCCAATGGATTCTACTTGCAAAACCCAGCTTACAGACCAAACAAATCACCATATGAGAAAAGCAGAATCACTCCCCATCTTAAACGTGAAGAAAAAAATGCTAAAACACATGAAACATTGTGATTGTTGTTAAACCTGTCACGGTTTTCAGGTTGCCATTAGAATGAACTGCCACACAGTAACCAATTCATTCAAACATCAGCTAGATTTTGTGTTGTCCTAATGTAAAACCACTATGTCAACCGATGTGCTGAAGTTTGTATTAAATAAGTTTTAATAGTGAACATATATATACCAAATTGCACATGGGAGAAAACCTTTCAAATCATAATGTAAAATATTCTTTCAAAAAAAGATTGAAAGGGACACACAAAGATCAAAGACGAATTCAGCCACATTTGTGGTAGTGCTTTGTTCAGACTGACTTCACAGTCATTTAGAGTAATTATTCCAAATCAAATCAATGTGCTTTTTCAAGAGACGGATTGACTGTTGGGTTGGATTATGGACGCAAGGCATTGCTCACAGTCCCTTTTGTGTAATACATCCATTTGATTACAGGGCCTCTACTGTGATTTTCAGCTCATCCATAGAAAATAAAGAACAATGTACGCCACACGAGTTAAGCAATGAGTCACTCTGAATCATAACACGCCATTCTTGTCTGGAGGATAGACCTTGGCTTGTTAGCAATGTCATCTATTGATGTCTGTCAGTATGCTGTTTGCAATTGCCCTTCAAAATGTGTGCTTTCCATTCAGTCCTGCTTTCAAAACATGTAATCCACAGATCTCTGTGTAAATGATGTCAAATCCATCACATGAACCACATTAAGATATACTGCTGGGTTACGGTAAGGCAATAGATAAAACTGTTCAGTATGAAACATTTATGGTTATGGTAGCGACCGAGCAAAAGCTAGCTCTGAGGACTTCGGCAGAGGGAGTGATGTACTGGATAGTGGCACAAATAAGTTTCTCTGCCATCACTTTTCTCTCTGTGAAAATATGTCGGCGAGAGGCACGGGACAGATTTATCTCACTAACGGGTTAACTTTGCAATTTACTTTAGCAATTAATTTGGGTCTGCACCACCGCAACCGCCACCTCCCGGGGAGCCTGAGCCTGACAGCCGCACCGGACTTGTGTGGAGGAAGTCTGTTAAAAAGAGTTACGGGTGGCCACAGGATTTGAAATTAATTGTTAATGGTGTACACATCAGTTAAAAGCCTTCAGATGAGAAATGGAGGCCGAGGATGTTCCAGATTTCCAGGAAAAGTAGGGACGGGGTGGTTGGAGAAGCCTGCTGGGATGCTAAGGAGAAATACTTTCATGACCACAGAAGTGCAGTAGCCCTTTTTTCCTTTTAGAGAGCATTTTGTCTGTGCCACTGAGACAAACCTTGTGGGTTGTTGGTTGTTAACCTGTGCAAGCACCAACTGTGTTAGTCACAGAAATCAAAGATCCATTTGATTTTGAGTAATTCCAAAAACAATTTGGATGTAAACAAGTATCCAGCCATCTAGTCTAAACCTTAATGCCAAGTCGGAGAGCAATGAAGGGTTAACTCCGACAGTTAGGACCACCACCCCAACAACAAACCCCCGTCCCAGTCCTGAATCCTCCTGCCAAGCGAAAATAACCTTTGCATTTTTTTTCCCTTTCTTGGACCAGGGATTATGCAGTGGGGGTTTGAACTCAGCCCACAAAATAAAATCTTGTCAAGTAAGGAGTTTGAGTAACAGCGCATGATAAATACTTCTCCACAGCAAGCCCGAATTCCAAACTCGGCTCTCTGTCCTGGAAAACTTGTGAGCCATTAAAAAAAATAGTCCTAATTGCACTCATGCAGGGATCTGAAACTCTTTCAAAGACAGAATCTGGCATGTGCCAGTTCGTCTCTGTGAAAAGAGGGCTTTTGTTTAAATGTCCATTCATCATCCCACCTGATGTGATGCATGATAAAAAGGGTTTTGGTCAGTAAAGGAAAAGCTGGACAATGATGTGGATGTCGCTGTAGAATGTTCCTGATCACATTCGTGTGAGAGCACAGAAATAGATAGAGAGGTGGAGCTTCTGTGTAATACCCTGGCCTAATTTGTAAATAACAGAACATGTTCAGAAAGGGCAATTTAAGTATATAAAAGGCAAATGCAGATTTAAAGTTGAAGTTTTTCATCGGTTTCTTATGTTTTACAATTTATAATTAAAGAAACATGAAGGAGATTACAGAGCTCCCTCAGGATATTATAAGTTTACCACAGGGGTTTAGCTATTATATTAGCTCATTTAATGTTTGGGCTGCTAATTGCTTGAAAATAAGGCTCCTGCACAGAAGCTTTTTCCAGAAAAGTCAGAATTTTAACATGCTAGAGTGTCTGTGGTCTATTTGAGCTGCTATCGTCTGTATGTACTGAGACAAGCTGCCCCCTGGTGGGAAAAATTATATACAAATATGCCTGAAAAATGCTTGCACAGGAACCCTTCTAACCATCTCCCTACCGCATTCACCGACGTAGGCTTCTCCTTGTGAGAACTGCAGGGTGTTGAAGAGTGGTCCCTTTTCCCTTCAAATGTGATTTCCACAAAAGCTAATTTCCTGAATGACTGCTCATGCTCTCTGCTGCATTAAGAATGTGCACTTCAATTCCAAAAAAAGAAAGAAAAAACTCAGCTCCTTTTTTTCTACTGCAGCTTAATCAGCTGTGTTTTGGTTTCCTGGCCACTGTGTTATCTTAACTACTGTTGTGTGAAGGGGCAGCTGTATTTCAGCACAAAGGGCATATTTTGGTTGTGTGGTTAGCAACGTTTTCAAGATCTTAAAGTGGTAGAGAGGCAAAACCTGTGGACTGCACTTGCAGCAGGTACCCAACGTGCTTCGATTATTCAAAACATCCGCAGCGTCCTTGAGCGAAACCACTTTGAGCCTCACATATTACAAAACCATTTCATATTTACTAAGAATAGAAAATATAGCAGAATTCCACATACTTGTCCACAGTATAAATTACCATGTTGACTGCACCTGGAAATATATATATGTATATATGTATACGTGTATTGTACAGTATATTGAACTACATTTTCTTTGAACAAATGGTTGTAGCATCTGTCGAAAAACATTATGTGTGGCAGAAGTCCACACTGGGAACATTACTGCTCTTGCAGTACGCTATGCTATTGTTACTGAGGTGACAGTCTCTGATGTCAATCCCTCCATTAGGTGTGTAGATGGGCTGAATTCTGAAGTCCCCTTTTAAAAGCTGCTCATTGTTTAGTGACACTATCTGAAAGCTCGTTTCAGTCATTTCCAGGATGGAGTTATCCTTTTTGGTCCCGGCTTCGCAGTAGTCATCTTTTCTCCTGCCGCGATTGTATTTCCATTTGGACGATGACGACCTGCTTTTCTTGTGCATGTGCCAGCAAAACAAGCTTAGAAGTGTCACTAAGACCACCAACACTGCCCCACCTATCACTCCAGCCAATAGGAGTGCGGAGGTGTTGTCTTGCTGGGCAGCCTGCTCAGATTCAGAGTATGTGGATGTGGATTTGGTCTTAGCCTCAGAACAGATAGTATCCTCACCCGGTCTGTACGTATTGAGAGTATCCAGAACGTACACGCAGATGCGGTAGATAGACCTGGGTTCTAAATTTGACAGGCTAAGCCTTCGTTGGTATCCCGGGACTGTTCTTTCTCGAGCGATGTCACTCATCAAACTCTGCCCCATCTTGACCCAAGTCACCTTGTAAGCCGTCACAGTGAAGTAAGACTCCCAGCTCACGTCAATGCAGGTAGAGTTCACTACGTGAAAGGAGATTTTTAAGGGGTCTTCGTATGGAGGCAGGGGACCAGGAGGGAAATGTGGAAATGGGGTTGTGGGGTTGGCCGAGGCGGGGTAAAAAGCAGTGGGTGAAATGGTGGTGAAGCGGGTGGTTCTGGAGATGGTCGTGGTGATGGTGGTGGTTCTGCGGGGTGGCAATGTAGATGGATATGAATGGGTTGGCCAGGGATGCAGCACGGTGCCCGCTGGGCAGTCGATGGCATCTAAGGTGAGTTCTCGAATTACCATGCCACGCACCCTTTCTGGACTCTGGCACGTGAACCCACGGACGTTTATCGCAGAAGGTAGAGACCTGAGCCATGCAATGACCCACTTAATGTTGCAATCACACCTCCAGAGGTTGTTTCTCGCATTAAGATGCCTCAGGTTTCTCAAGCCATCAAAGACACCCGGTGGAAGAAACTGAAGCTGGTTGCTAGAGATGTCTAACTTCTCCAGTTTACTAAGCCCAACGAAGGCTGTCACTTCAATGGTGTCCATCTGGTTTTCCTGCAGGTTGAGCTTGGTCAGGGATGCGCCAGGGAGCAATGGTGGTGGAGTGGTGAGGGAGTTTCGAGCCAGGGACAGTTCTCTCAGGTTGACCAGGCCCTGGAAGGTTCCAGGAGCGATGCCCTCATCCTCAAGCAAGTTCCCATCCAGCAAAAGTCGCTGCAGGGTGGTGACATTCTGAAAGGCATCCTCGTCAATGTCGGCAATGCGATTCTCGTCCAAACGCAGCTCCTTGAGATCTGCCGGTAATCCGATAGGAATGCTGCTCAGGTGGTTTTTGGTGAGGAAAAGAAGCTTGAGGCTGACAGCCTCCCTGAAAGCCCCCTCCTCTACCCCTACGGTTGAGATGGAGTTGTCGTCCAGGTGGAGTTCCTCCAGCATGAGTAGCTGGGCAAGTGCTGCCCTGGAGATAGTCTGGATGTTGTTTTCCTGGAGGTGCAGCACTCGAACATTCCTGGGAAGGTTGAGGGGAAATTCATCCAGCTGATTTCCATATAGGTAAACAGTTTCTACAGAGGCAACATTGTGTAGCTCCAATGGAAAGCCGGCATTGTTGATCTGATTGTTGTGGAGGAAGAGGGTCTTGGATCCCTCTTGCACCCCCAGAGGCACAGACGTCAGGCTTCTCTCATTACAGTAAACAAATGTTCTATCGCAGCGGCACTCCTTGGGACAGGAGGAGACGTGGCTGAATTGCACATGCAAGCTCAACAACACTGTCAACCAAAAGCGAAGAAATGAAGTCCAATCGTTATTCCAAAATCCGGCTTGAAACTCCATAGTGAAAAATAAAGGGAGGGAAAGGAAATGGCAAGACAAAATCAGTGGCTGGAGGGAGTAAAAAGGAAATGTAACAAATCCAGCAAAATTAAGTCCTCTAAAAGATTATTCTAATGTGCAGTTCACAGATAGACCAGGAATTTGAGGAGTAATCCCTTGATAATTTCTAGTCCTTTTCTGGAGAGGTGGTCTCATTAGAGTGCATGGGTTCTCTCACTCAAGCCATCCATGCTGAGGAATCAGATCAATGTAGAACTGCTCTCATTCACTGCAGGGCCCAAGCAGGGTGTGACTGAGAGAGTGCTGAAGCACTGAGCCACACTGTCCACCTCCCAGCCTGCTGTCAAGTGCTGATGGGCCTCAGCCCGAGCACTTTCCGGAAGATGTGACATTTGGGTCCAAAGACCTGTTTCAAAACAAGGACAAATTAGAATACAAAAAGTGTGGATTCACAACAAAAATGCAGTAGGCCAATAAACTTTATACATTTATGTTTTTTCCATGTTTTTACACGCCCAAAACATATAGGCTAATCATTCAAAAAAAAACAAATGCCTTTGAAAATGTTTTCTGTTTACTATATGGCTTATAGCATCTTCACTATGCATCATAGAATATTCACGTCCCCTTTGAGTGTAGCTCAGGGGAAAAACAATCAAATGAGTTGAGGTAGTGGGGGTGTCCTACACAGCTCAGAGTGACGAATGCTGCCTGTCAAATTAAATGGGATTGGTGTATAATTTAGCCCATCTATCTGCAATAAATTATCAATACAGTCTTTTTCCCTCCTCAATTAAAAGGTTTTGTGCTAGTTCAAGGTCTCAGAATCATAATCAGAACTCTGATCAGAACTCAGAATACTGAATCTACTGTTCAGACTTGTATTGCTTGTATTTTGATTAAAGTTAAGATTAAAATAAAAATACGTTTTTTTTATTTCATATTTTATTTCAAGTTTTTTTTTGTATGACATTTACATTTTGTGAAATGTGATATGTTGTAGTTGACGATTCGAAAAACAGTATTTATGTACAGATATAATAAAAAACTTTTTAGTCGGCCCTGTTTGTATTTTTGTGCTTTCATTATTACTGTAAAATAACATACTTCTTGGCATCTTGAGCCTTCAGCAAACACCTCTGCATTGGATTTTTGCTTTTGTGGCCTATACCATCTGTCTTGTTAATAGAGTTAAAACAATCAATGCCTGGCAAGAGAACGCTTGTCTTTACTAAGACGCAAGCTATCACAGATAGCCACAGATAGGACAAATACAGGCCTCATATATAAAGCCATTTAGATCTGACAAAATCATATTTGAAATCACATTAAAATGCATAATCATGAGTATAAAGAGGTTTACAGCAAACTATGCATGTTTAAAATAGATTTTAAGTGTTTTTTTGTTTGTTTGTTTTTCAGTGATGCCATAGAAGAACCATTTTTGGTTCCCCAAAGAACCCTCTACTGAACAGTTCTTCAAATAACCATTTTTTTCTTACTGCATTTAATAATCTAAAGAACCTTTTCCCAGTAAAGAACCAATTAGAAGTTTCCATAGGTATTAAAGGTTCTTAATGGAACCATCAATGCCAATGAAGAACCTTTAGTTTTAAGAAAGTAGCCTACAGTGTAAAATATGTTCATAATTGTAAAAATGCTATATAAACCTGTTAATTTGTTACCTGTGTGTTATACACAATATATTTAATTTAACACACAATGAGTGTAGTTTTACTGTAATATATAATTTTGGAAGTAAAAAAAAAAAAAAGCAAATTCAAGACAATGCATGCACTTTTACAGTAAAATATTGTTAAAATATTGTTTTAAAGTTAAGTTACAAAATAGTTAGGCTATTGGTAAAAAAAAAAAAACGGTATAATAGACATTACCACATTTTATTATACTAAATTGAAACATTTATTGTTGAAATAACTGTCCTTACTATTCTAATCACTTGGGTGCAATAGGATATTTTATATTACTCATGGCATGCTGGTTGTTTAATGTATATGATTATTCATGTCATAGCCTGATGTTTTTTTTTTTGTTTGTGTGGGTCACACTGTACTCTGTCTATACTCTGTTTATTGGCTATTCTTCGTGGAAAGGCCGGTTTTGCTGAACGTTGATTTCATCGTGGACTTCCATTTTACCACCTTTTATTTTTGTGGTGCTTACAGACACTATTTATCAGCTGAGAAAATATACGGTTGAAAATGTCTAAATGTGCAGGCATCAAACGCCATCCCTTAATGGCTGAAACGTTGTAACCATTTTTTTTTATTTTTACATGGAATTTCTGACAAACATGGCTAAATGTATTTATTTATTTATTTTACAGTGTGCTTAACCAAAAAGCATGCTCGCAGACAAAACTAAATGAGTAAAGACAAAACAACACTGCAAGTTTGAATCGTAGGAGGCATTTCGAAGCGGATAAGGTGAACTTGAGAGAGCAGCGAAGCTGTTGATGTGAATGAATAATCTCTAGATGGTACTGAGAGCCGAGCGCAGTAAGTAAAAGAGAAACAATGCTATGACAAGCTTGATGTTTGACCAGATAAACCGCTTTGGTTATCCACTATTTACCCTATATGTTATCCGAGATGTTGAAATGCTGACAAGCCTTCGTCTAACATAGGAGCGCAGTAGTTTGCGGAAAAGTACAAGCCCCTAGTTACAGCAGAATAGTTTCGGACGAAATACTCGGGAACTTCGTATACAAACGAACACTTTTAACTTAAAATATGGATATCAATTATGTTCGTGTAGTTAGACGGGTAAAAGGACCTCATCCAGCAGAAGAAATGCAGTAGTCTCCATCAAAATCAGCCTACCTTATCAAACATGATTTTATCCGTATAATTAAACAACATTGAGCACTTGTCCCCCTCTTCTTGTTCTTCATGCACTCGGTGGAATAGACGGGACGCACAGACCCAACGCCATTCCCGTAACATACTGTTCTACCGAATCGGTTCCGAGTTCCTCTCCGCCCGCGGCTCCTCCGGACAGCATACTGACTCCCGTTTGGAGAGCTCGGTGTCCGCGCTCACTACTTTTTGCCGAAGTGACTCCCTCTGTTCCTCTTTCCACGGCTGAGCCCTCGTTTAAACCTATAACTTACATTAAATTCACATTTGCAAAATCCACTTTTTTTTTCCAGGAGTCGGTAAACTCGCCGAAAAAGCCCAAAATACATCCACGTTACCGCGTATCATACCATCATACTTCGTGAAAGCGAAACGCAAGAGTTCGCCGATTCATCTCCGAGAGATGTTTACAGAGGAAAACTGCGCTGGTAATGATCTGTTCACTGCACACCTCCGACT